TGATTATTGTCCTCCACCAAAATACGTGTTACAGTATTTTCAAAGTTTGAGCAAAACATCTATCTGTCATTTTGCAACATAAGATGATTTATGTCTAAAACCCTGGCATGACAGGTTGCCAGTGGATGCTGGCTGGGCCTGTAATTTCTACACCTATCTATTTACATTCTAAAACTTGAGCCTTGTCTGATTGCTAACTTTATTATATTACGATACTGAATTTGATTTTGATTTTTTTTAATTAACTTTCATCCAACTTAGGTACAAATACATCAGCTTGTTCATTTTTTAGTTAATGTACAATGTCCCCTATTTAAATAAAATCAAATTTAAAAAATTCACATTCCACCATTAAAACAATTTGACCTGAGTTTAGTAACAAAAGCAAGTAAAATCACACTAGTTGTAGTCCAGGTGCAAATAAGGGGAAAACCTTATCAGTAAAGGAGCTTCATTTTCTTGCTGCAGCCTGTTTGCAGCTTGCATCCATTGAGCTGTCAGAGAAAAGCCCTGGCACGAAGTTTTATTACTGAGGGTGAGAAGGAAGAGACAGACAGCAGCTAAAATGGTGCGAATGTATAATGTGCTTGGAGTCTAGAGGGTTTTGGCTCATTGGGGAGCACCTGCCACACCACCACAGACTGTGATCATGTGAGCACATGGCAGCATGTTGGGTAGAATCCCACCATGACTTCTGAAAACAAAAACCCACTTTAGGCTCAGTGATTCTCCTCCTCCTGACAGCCACACAAAAATATATGAAGGCTATTAAAGACTAAAGAACTGGAGTGGACTTTAAAAGGGTCATGACACTTGTGACTCCTGTTTTCATTATGTAGAGTCAATGTGGAAGACTCCATATAGCTTCGAGTTCACACTGACAATAAACGGACTGGGTTAAGAGCAATGAAGTCAGATCCATCTCAGTTTTCTGAGATGACTCTGCACTCTTTTACTGTCTGTGAATAAAAAAAAAAGCTTAAAATATTTAATGAATCTGTGATGGCCAGTGTTCTGCTTTGCACCGTGACAACCTCAAGCAGCGAACTTAATTTGGTGGACCCCAACAGGCTCAACAAATGACTCTGTAAAGCAGGTAAAGATGAATCCACACCCAGTGACAGAGAGGTGTTTGAGAGGAGGATGGTCCTCAAACTAAAATTTATATTGGATAATAGTTAACACCTACTCCACAATATGCTGATGTTGCACATGCACATTCAGTAAACGACTGAAAACACCACAATGACTGAACTCCACAGAAAACTATTCCTTCCTGTGGCCATCAGATACTGTACACAGCTGGACTGCAATAATCCAAAGCTTAAAGGGATAGTTTAGTTATTTGTGAAGTTAAATTATGTGAAATAGTTGTTAACAGTTTGTGCCTTATCAGCGGTGGCATCAGTCATACAGCATGTTGTAATGAGCTCATGAAATAAGAGATTAAACTATTAACTAGCCAAACAAGTGCCCCTTTTTTCAGGCTTAAAGACAACTGTTTCTCAAAAACAACATACCAGAGTGAAAGAAAACACCATTGGTTGATTAAAAAATATATAACTTTGTACTTTTGCATGCTGTTTTCTCAACCAAATAAGGTTCACGTTCCTACACAAATGTACTGTATGTGAACAGAGAATAGATTGAGTGGTGCTGAGTGGTGTTGAAGAGTCCCTATAGGCAAGACATTGAACCCCCCATTGTCTCTGATGTGTCAATGTGATCTAAAGCTCTGATTAGTCTCTATAGAATCATTTACCCAGATTGGCTTTGTAGACATGTAGTACTGTGCAGTATGAATGTGTGTTGATGGGAAAATGAGGGCACAGACTGAGTTAAATAATTTTGAGTATCATGTTGGATAGAAGAGTACATTATATGTACAGTCCTTTTACCATTCACCTGATCAGCACATCATCGGTCCAGATTACTCAACCTCTGGCGAACTGATATTTATGCAGTCTCTGCACCAAGAGTGGAAATTATGTCTCATTCTTGGTGAGGTCCAAACCAATCTGACCTCTGGGTATGTTTGTCTGTGGTCAGCACCACCATATTGGTTTATTTATGCTCAACATGCATATATGCCTAATAACATGAACAAAAATATAAATGCAACACTTGTTTATGCTCCTATTTTTAATGAGCTGAACTCAAAGAACTAAGACTTTTTAAAGCCAAACAAAGACTTTTTTTTTCACTGTACAGAGCAGATGATAGACTACGTGTATGGTGTCGTGTGGGGTGAGCGGATATTGCTGATGTCAACGTTGTGACTCAAGAAGCTCATGGTGGCAGTGAGGTTATGGTATGGGCAGACATATGTTATGGACAATGAACACAGGTGCTGTTTTAATAGCATTTTGAATGCACAGAGATGCCACGATGGCATCCTGAAGCCCATTATTGTGCCATTCATCCACAACCATCACCTCATGTTGCAGCATGATAAAGCCCAGCCCCATGTTGCAAGGACCTGTACACAATTCCTGGAAGCTGAAAACATCCCAGTTCTTGCATGGCCAGCATTCTCGCTTGACATGTCACCCACTGAACATGTTTGGGTTCCTCGTATACGACAGCGTGTTCCAGTTCCTGACAATATCCAGCAACTTTGCACACTCATTGAAGAGAGTGGACAAACAATCCACAGGCTACAATCAACAACCTGAGCAACTCTATGTGAAGGAAATGTGTTGCACTGCGTGAGGCAAATGGTGGTCACTGGTCACACCAGATACTGACTGTATTTTTAACTCCCACAAGAGTAAAACTGCACATTTTAGAGTGCCCTTTTGTTGCGGCCAGTCTAAGGCGCACCTGTGCAATAATCATGTTGTCTAATCTGCATGTTGATATGCCACACATGTGAGGTGGATGGATAATCTCTGCACAGAAGAAGTGCTCACTAACAGATTTACACAAGTTTGTGAAAATATCTGAGAGAAAAAGGCCTATTGTGGAAAGTCGTAGGCCTTTAAATTTAGCTCATGAAAAATGGGAACAAAAACAAGTGTTGCCTTTTTTTTTTGTTCGATGTAAATATTCAATTGAGAAAACAAAATAAGTGGTGTTGTGATTAGTAAATCTAGCGAGTTTTCACCTACACAGTATGCATTTTTATTTTAGAATGAAAATCAATTAAAAATAATTATACAAACAAACAAACAAAATTATTAAATAAATAAATAAATGAATAAATAGAACTTGTTTGGTTAGCTATTAGCCACACGCAGACAAAGACCTTTGTCCACCATTGGGTGGTATTTCTGAAAACCCAGAGGGTTTCACCTGGGCCGGCTGGTGTTGAAGATTTGACATCAGCAGAGTGCAGGCCATAGATTGGTTCCCTGGCCTGGCTGTATGTGCAACTTCAAATGACTGTAAACACATTAGCTAGCATTAGCTTGCCTTCTTATTTCATTTTGCACCCCCGCCTTTGGCGTACTGCTGTATGGCCTCGTAAACTCGTATCTTTCTGCTGTGTTTAGCAGCACAGAGCCTTCTCTGGCTCTTTTTTAAACCTTGTTTAGAATGAACAATAGCATGAGCTCCATGTTTTCCATTGTTGGGTGTTGTGAAAAAATGACCACGTGAGCCTTGAGTGTTTCTGCTATGATGATCCTACCAACATGCAAAAACAAGTGGGGCGGCTGTGGCTGAGTGGTTAGAGCAATCGTCCTCCAATGTGAGAGTTGGGGGTTCAAATTCACCAGCAGTCACATGCTGAAGTGTCCCTGGGCAAGACACTGAACCCCTCATTGTCTCTGATGTGTGTCCCATCAGTGTATGACTGTAATCTAAAGCACTGATTAGTCTCTTTAGAATGATTTGTTCAATTAGCTTTATCTAGTAGAGTGCTTTATGAATGAGTAAATGAGGGCACAGATTGTAGTGTAAAGCGCTTTGAGTATCTTGAAATAAGATAGAAAGGTGCTATATAAGTACAGTACAGTCCATTTACAACTAAAGTTGTGCAGAGCTGGAGAAGACCTGCCAGGCCAACCTGGGCCGGGATGGAACTTACAATGCATAAATACCTAAGACTGACAAGGTACTAACTATTAATAACCATTCGATAAAACATCCCTTCAAAAATGACCAGTCTCTCTTTAACAATTCATGTTTGATATCTATTTAAAAAAAAACTTCCATAATGGTTTTTTTTTTTGTTTGTTTTTTACTATTTTACGTGCTATCATTGTCCATGTTTTTTTCCATCCATCCACTATCTTTACTTACTTCATCCTTTTCGGTTCGTGGGGGGGTCACTTGTGCCCATGTCCAGCCATCACTGTGCGAGAGGCGGAGGACACCCTGGACATGTCCAGTCCATCACAGGGACACATAGAGACAAACGAGACAAACAACCATTCACTCTCTCACTCTCACCTAGGGACAATTTAGTCACCAATCAGGCTAACGTGCATGTTTTTGGTCTGTGGAATAAAACCGGAGCACCCAGATAAAACCCACGCATGCACGGAGAGAACAGGCAAACTCCACCCAGAAAGGCCCCCGGCAGGGATTTGAACCGAGGCGACCTTCTCAGTGAGAGGCAGCAACTTTACCAGCTGTGCCACCGTGCTTCAGCGTATTTTCTCCATTACTGTTTAGGGTTTTTTTTGTAGTTTTTTTTTTTTTTTGCATTAAATATATATTTTTAACTTTTACTTTCATTTACTCTTACTTTTACTCAAATTATGGAGTGCTGTAAGCGAACACCTTACCCCTGGGAAATAAAGTAGACGGGAGCTGAATTAAACTTTTGTCCTTTTGTTGAAAAGGGAGTGTATCAAATAAATGCTCAAACGGCTTGCCATACATGCCACACAATCGCGTCCACATGTTTGTAGAAATCAAGTGGGCGCTGGAAGTTTGGATCTGATAAGGGTCGAGCTGCATGAGGAAGGGTGTGTGCGTGTGTCGAGGGGGCAGAAATGGCACGTTGGGACACGGGAAGCAGCTCGGTGTGAGCGCGCGCCTCCCCTCTCCGCTCCGCAGCGCGCGCGGCAGAGCCTCCTCGCGCCTCTCGCGCGGGCTGTTTTTCTGACTCGTGCTCTTCGTGCCAGAGCCTGCAGCTGTCTGCGCCGCTGTCGTTGTGGGGAAGGCGTCGCGACGCATGGAGGAACCGACGGTTTTCTCTACAAGCCCTGGAGATTTGGAAACTTCTGAAGTGTTTCATGCGTTGCTCTAGGAGGACCGGATGAAGACACCTGGCAGCTGAGACGCGCGCGCGTGTTCCGGACTGAGCTCTGTGTGAAAACTGTAGGAATGTGGAAGACAAATCTGTCTCGGCGGTTAGTGCTCTGATACTGCTTGTGTTTACTCTGCAAGCTGAAACCAAGATTTTTTTTTATATATTTCTGCTTGTATTTCTGTGTATTAGTACAAACTGGTACCATTAGTAACATGAAATATTTTGTCTTCCACAGTAACTGGACCAGCTTCTGCCCCTGAAACCATGACCGCAGACTTGAACTTGACCTCTCTGATGAATGCAACATTGTTAGACAACCAAACCAGAGGATGTCCCCTCACCAAGACAGGCTTTCAGTTCTATTACCTGCCCACGGTCTACATCATGGTGTTCATCACCGGCCTGGTGGGCAACAGCCTGGCCATTTGGATGTTCGTGTTCCACATGAGACCCTGGAGCGGCATCTCCGTCTACATGTTCAACCTGGCCCTGGCTGACTTCTGCTACGTCCTCTCTCTGCCTTTCCTCATCTTTTACTACTTCAACAAAACAGACTGGATATTTGGGGACGTGATGTGTCGCCTGCAGCGTTTCATCTTCCACGTGAACCTCTATGGAAGTATTCTGTTCCTGACCTGCATCAGTGTTCACAGGTACACGGGGGTCGTGCATCCGCTCAAGTCTTTAGGCAGGCTGAAGAAGAAGAATGCAGTTATTACCAGTGCGCTGGTGTGGTTGATAGTAATTATAGGCATGTCCCCAATTCTTTATTACTCTAGGACTGGTATGAAGCGTAACTCAACCACCTGTTACGACACCACCACTGAGGATGAGCTATCGGCGTATTTCATTTACAGCATGACTCTGACTGTGTTTGGGTTCTGCGTCCCATTCATTATCATATTCTGTTGCTACGGCATGATCGTCAAGGCGCTGATCTGCAACGACATGAACAACGCCCCCCTGCGGCAAAAATCCATCCACCTGGTGATCATCGTGCTCGCGGTCTTCGCCGTCTCCTACCTGCCTTTCCACGTCATGAAAAACCTGAACATGCGCGCCAGGCTGTTCTTCCAGAGCCCGGACATGTGCGCGTTCAACAACCGCGTCTACGCCACGTACCAGGTGACGCGGGGGCTGGCCAGCCTCAACAGCTGCGTGGATCCCATTCTTTACTTCCTGGCTGGAGATACCTTCAGGAGGAAGCTGTCTCGGGCCACCAAGAAGACCTCCAGAAAGGGCGACAACGTCCTTCAGTCCAAGAGCGAGGACACGGCGCTCAATAGCCTGGCTGAGTACGTGGAGAACAACGATCGGAGACTGTGACCGTCTCGCTTCAGAGACAAAGGGATTAAATAAATCCAGGCACTGTGTGGACTGAAGACGGCGCGTAAACTTTAGGCGACGATGGTTTGTAGAATTGTAGGATAAAAACTCCACTTAACCCTGTGATACCATTGCTTTCTTGCAGCCTGTTGACAATACTAAGCTATTGTACTGTACTGTCTAATACTGTACTTTAAAAATTGGAGCCATCCCTCTCCTTTTTTATTTATGTACATTTTGGACTAAATGTGAAGAGCACAGCTGGGGGGGGAAATAGATTGTCCAAGAGGCCAAAATCTCCTGTTCATCCATTTGTTCTGCAGTTTAAGACTGCGAATGGATAGCACATTCTCAAGCCCCGAGCTGATGGGTAATCAATACCTTTTTAGCTGCTGAGAGCTTAAACATAAGGAAGTGTACTTGGGGATGGCTTTTAGACGAAATAATGAATGCACTGAACCTGAGTTTGCTGCGTACATATGCAAAGCAGCCATTGTAATGCACTATTAGCCAAGTTCTTTTTTTTTTGTTGCTCTACCTATCACTTAATCTTTTTCTTTCGCAGAAAGAATGTGGTTAATTACCTTTCTGTCAGCTCTGAAGTTGAAGTCTGCAACAGCTCTGTACCACATTTCTCTTACTTACCTCCTTGCCACGTGAATAGGGTGATATTTGCAGTATTTCTTTTGTGTACATGACGCTACATCTGTGGTATTCTTCGGTGTACTGTACAGGATGTTGTGACAGTTCAGATCAGTTATATTAGGTGTTAGTTTCGCTAATTCACAGCTTAATCGCACGAGTCCAGTACCAAGAAAGTGTCATGTGAAAGTGTCAGTGACTCACCACAGCAAGTTCAAACTACCCGTACAAAAAAAAAACATAGTCACAACTATTTTTCCTGCTTTGCGACTCCATCAACACATTGAAGATCTGTTTGTACGAGATACCTCAAAGTCAATTGTGCACTGTGTCTGTATTTGACAGATGATAGTTTTTTTTTTTGGTTTGTATCTGTTGTGAACATTCTAGACAAATGATTGCGAAACTATATATTTTGTGTAGATGTTTGATGTCTGTAGCCTACTAATTTCTGTGTTGTGGCTGCTGTGAGTGTTACGAAAGGAAGTAAATCTGTGCAAGAATTTTATGTTTTTGTTGCCACATGCAGTTTTTTTCTATGCTTTTTATGACTTTAGGCACTAATTATTTAGACCTGTCATAATAATTTTTAAATTGTGTTTTAAAGTGATAGCTCGTATTTTTTTAAGAGGGTTCTGTGAAAAGGTTTGAACAATTAATATCTCACCTGTTGTAGATAACTCTTTGTATGACGTCAGTTTGGGAAAATAGTCATTGGTTCGACTGGATTGACAATCGAATAGTTGATCGCTGTCATATTAAAACAACTGCAGTCACTAAGTTTGTAGCGGTTCATGTAAAACGCAGTCGTTTAAAGCTTGACATTGCGGTCAACTTTGCATTACAAAGTTATTTACATAGAATTTTATGGCTCAAATATACATAATAATAAACAGGTCTCTCTTGAAAATTAGTCCTAGTGACCCAATGAGACTAACCTGTATAAATAAATAAAGGTTGAATAAGAAAATATTAGCCACAGCCTTCTACTTCCTGTGCAAATGTTATATTTCTAACTGTATTTTTGTCGCTAAACACAAGAGCTTGTAGCATTAATTTGAACCCCTGTAGGAAAAAATGTTTAATTTAAATATTTATCTTAATATCTCAGTAAGATATCAGAATGAAACTATTTCTTCAAAATGGAGTTGTTCAAAGAGTCATCTACAACAGGTAAGACATTAATTGTTCATAACTTTTCTACAGAAACACACTGATAAATCTGAACTATCCCTTCAAAATGTTAGCCTGGTCATTTTTGAGGTGATGGTCAAAAAAGGAGCAATAGTTAATACCTCATCAGCCATGACATAACTCATAGGACATGGGGTATAAAGAAAAGGGCGAACATTTTAATCAAGGCTAAGCTAAAGGCTAGTCAAACAAGAAACTCCGTGCTTAATTTGTAAACCAATCGATGCCGGAACGCAAATAGGCGAGCCAGCTGGGGGTCCTCCCCAGAAAACTCTGAATAACTAGTTGTGATTTCTTGCATGTTGGTGTATTTTAACAGGTTGTTAAACATCTACGTTTACCTACATTTGTAAACACTTGCATCACCCAGCCCCCGCGCTTGATGGTTCCGAGTCGACTCTTCTCCGCTGAATTCACTGTCCGACTCCACATGGCGGAAATATTTGTTAAAGGTAGAGAAGAAAATGCTTCACTTGAAGGGTTGGATGGTCGTATGTGATATTAAGAAGTCGTGTTGTGTTTAAAATTAGTGTTTATGTAATTATTTTCAGTTTACATATCCAATATAAGTTTTATTCGTTCAAGGCAGTCATATTTGTTCATAACTTTATTATTAGTAAACCAGAGAGCTGCCGGGTCCACGCAAACAGTTATCGGAAGGCACCGTCAAAATAAGAGAGTTCCTGGATCCTGTTCCGGCAGGATCCGGCACAAATTAAGCACCGAAGTGATTACATTCTTTTAAGTTTTTCAGGTTTTTACAACAACTGTTTTTCAAAATCAATAAATAAGTGTAAAAAAAAATAGCTAATGTTAACTACACTTTTAATGACACATTTGTTTAGCTTGTCATGGTTTTCTCGATCGAGCAACGTTCATATTACTGCACAAAGGGATGTGTGCAGATCATAGACCATGCAGATGCCTAGGATGTGAATGTTTTTTTGGTTTTTTTTTATGTATCAGTCTGTCGTGAGTTGAGGAATCTAGAAGTGCTGCCCAAGTAAACTGGTACATTCAGCAGCATATGTGCGGTCTCTATGCTCAGTGAATACATTTGCAGAGTAAACCAGATGTTTGGTTATAAACAACAACAAAACTTCTCGGTTAGCTATCTATCAGCCTCGTCTGCTCTTTCCTTCATTCTCTGTCCTCAATGACGGTCACTGCTGGTGATAGTAATTTGACAGAACATCAATTAAGCAATGATCAGACTTACCCTTTAAGTCCACTATTACCATTTAGTATTAGCTTTATTAAATGTGTACATTACCAGGAGGGGGTAAACCCTGTGGCTGCTTCAGACATGGGTGCTCTCCGGTCTTTTTCTCCACGCTGATGACTTTCTCCTTCAACTCAGTGAGGAGGAAGTGAGGGGATGAAGGAGAACTAAAGGGTGGCACCATTTTCTCTCTGTTCATGCTAAGACTGCCTTTGTGTTCATCACAATGGTGTGGAGTTATTGATGCAGACAGCGGTGTGAAACTCTCACCAGTAGCCCTCGGCTGTATGGAGTTGTGAGCACAGGAAGCCAAAGACCTGCCCTCTAGAAAAATAAAATAAATTTAAAAAAAGCCCATGACTACAAACAGCTTTTGATTTTCTGCCTGTAAGGTACATCCTGCGTAGACGTCCCTGGTAAATGTGTGTGTATCTCTCTGTGAGCCTTAAGGCAGTGGAGACTGTGTCCAGTTGTTATTTCTGTTTGTTTGGGTCAGTTCTATTTCAAAAGCAGCCAAGCTCAAGGTCTGTAAAGTGTATCCGTTTATTCGAGGAATATGTGTGCTTTGTGATCTTTGCACCATGATGAAAGCAAAGTTGGAATCAGCGAAAAGCAAAGTGCTTTTCCAGCTGAGTGTTGAATCTTGACTTGTAGAAGGTCGGGAGTCTTGCCAGTGTCTCCTCCCTCCCTTCTCTGCCACCTTTCACCTCTTTTTTCTTAAACGGTACCGTAGCTGTTTGTCTTCAGTGCATTATGGGGGGGGGGGGGGGGGGGGTCGAGGGGGCATTGAGGGACGAGGGGGGTGTGCTCGGGTGTTTTTTGTGG